CTCGAACCATTTCCACGGTCGGCCTAATACCAATATAAGAAAATTTCAATAATGCATTTTTCATTATTAACATCACTTTCTAAAAACAGATACACATAGAGAGCCATATATTGTTTATAGCTAAGCTCTTGTCAGGCCTGTTCATAATCTGGTCACTTTCAAGAAAGCTCCAAGTTGCTTCCAAGTCATTTGGAGGCGGAAATGCTATTACGCTCGAAGGCATTTTTAGGGACGATAACAACAGCCTTTCCAAGAGTTTGATCTTTAAACACAAAAGTCTAAGATAATGAAAAAAAAGCGAGGACTGACACTCGGTGTTATATATTGAATATCTGACTTTTTAACTTCCCGGTTAATGTGACATCAAAAATGACTAACTCTTTAATATAAAATGGAATTGTTCTGCTCACGATTGAACATTTATAACTTTCGCGCGATGCCAAAAGAAAATTAATCGCGTGATTACCGATCTCTCGACCTAATAACGAAATTTTATGATATAAAATATTGGCAACATTAATATGATATCATAATGGGTAAGAAATTATAAAGATTCTTTGGTCTTAACGGGTCTATGACATGTCTTAATAATGAGAGCAAAAAAGGCAGTCGTTGCATTTACAAGAAATGTATTTCAATCCGATCGTAATTTGAGAAGAATTTTGAAAAAAATTGAAAAAGTTTGAAATATTATAATCTATGTAAATTTAGTATGTGTTTGTGTTCAAAACCTTATATAACAATTCCTTTATATAACGAGATTTGATTATTGCGAAATTTTGGAAAATTCTCGACTATAATAGAGCATTTATTTATAACGATTTATTATGCCCGTATTCAAAATATACTTGGTAAACTTTTTTGACTTGTTTCAATATTTGAGTTTAGAGAAAATTAAAATATTTACCATAATTGCTGCATAGGACATCCTTCTTGCAGACTTAAGTACTCAATTCATTGATATGTACCATTGAAACCAAAATGTCCAGAAAGAGGATCTTCATGTAAATTTTTTCATAATGGCTTCTATTTTATTTTCTTTCAAAACTCTAAGAGGACGTGTTATAGCAATAAGTTTTATAAGAAATCAAAATCCAAATCATTAGACTCGAGTATTCAATACTTTTAAAAAAGTATGTAATTTCATCGGATTAACGTAATAATACATACAACCACTTCATACATGTAAATGTTAAAATAATATTTTAATAACGAAAAATTGTCTTTACGAAAATATCATGAAAACATTTACTGGCCATTTAGATCTGTTACACCAGCGATGGGCTTCCAATGATTAGGTTAGATCATATTATTTAGTTAGTTAATTTTCCAATATCTGACTGAAGAATACGAAACGTAATTTGTGTCATTTATTTTCTAATATTTGTTTATTACTATTTGCATATAATAAAAAACCCTAATCCAGCAACCATTTAAAATCAAAAAAACCGGTAAAATTCATAACTAAATTTTTCTTAAATATACTGCAAAATATCGAATATTACCTATTCAACGCGCAAAAACTCATTTTCTCTGTCTCGACTTTTGTGATGACCTGCAAAAAATTTATTGGTCACGTGAGTCAGATTCTGTTTTATTGATCACGTGCATTGGTCTAATTATACCTCTAAAATAATCAGACTTTCCAATTTTAAATATTCGTATGAACAACTAAAAGCAGTAAATTTTTGATATGTGACATTTTCATATATCATTGAAAAATCTGCGTTTTGTATGTTGTAAATAGTGTTGATTTAACCAACAAAACTCGATATTTACCGTTAAGGATAACTGTATAGTTTGTGTCATGTCACGTGAAAGCGGACATTAATTTATTGATTACTCGGATTTGCATACGATTAAATAAAATTTGTCTTATTGATCGACCTCCTTTTACTTTAGTCACTCGTCTTATTTATAAAGCGTGCTAATACTTCAAAGAGTTCCTCACGATCACTGCCAATCAAAGTACTTAATCTGTTAACTATTTTTAACCTTGTCTTAATAGTGATTTGCTTGAATGGACGCGGACGTGGAAAATACTCAGATGGAGAACGGCGACCCTAGCTCGACCAATCAAAGACCTGGTCAACAACATAAAAGGCGACGGACTAATTCTCTCACAGTACAAAGTGTAAAGCGTCAGGAACTTGGTGAAAAACAAAATGAAGAACCAGTAACAAATAACTCATTCTCAGCTTTGCAGCCGCCGCCTTGGCAAGATACAATTGAGAAGGCGGTGACAGCAATCGTGTCCATTCGTTTCAGTCAAGTTGCCGCCTTTGACACAGAAGGTATTTTGAGTTTTACTCTAAAGCTTCAAGAGATTCTTTATAGATAACATTATTTCCATTTTAAAAATAGGTCCCGAAACTTCGGAAGCTTCTGGGTTTATTGTTGATGCTAAACGTGGCATTATTTTGACTAACAGGTATACCGGTGGCTTAATTTTTTATTAGAAGTTGATTCAACCGACATCTAAATTTAATTTCTGTGAAATCAAAAGACATGTAGCTTGCGCAGGGCCATTTGTTGGTGAAGCAGTATGTCATGATCATGAGGAAGTATCTGTTTATCCAGTATATCGCGACCCAGTGCATGATTTTGGGTATTTGAATAGCTATATCTTTTCTTGATTTCTATGGCTTGCGTCATGTTTCTTATCCTTACTATGTATTATTATGTCATTTCCAGCTTTTTAAAGTTTGATCCAAAAGAAGTAAAATATATGCCAATTATTGACATTCCTCTTGCACCACATCTGGCAAAAGTTGGGCTTGATATACGGGTTGTGGGTAATGATGCTGGCGAGAAACTATCGATTTTGGCCGGTTCGATCTCACGATTGGACAGGAATGCACCAGAGTACGGCGATCTGACGTATAACGACTTCAAGTGAGTGGGGACAAACTTTTGGCTAATGCACGAGTTAATCAATTTATTGACGAAACCCAAAAGATTGGTTTTTTAATCCTTTGGTGGTTCTTTTTATGTGGTTTTTCTTAAATCACAGTACTTTTTATTTGTGAGTATTCTTATCATTATTGACATATTTTCGTGTATCTAGCACTTTACATTATATCAGTTTAATAATGACTCATTTAATAGACAAGCCGCGTCGAGCACTAGTGGCGGTAGTTCCGGAAGTCCTGTAATTGATATCCATGGAAATGCTGTCGGATTACAAGCTGGTTTGAGCTTATTTTAATGAATAAACCTATTTTCACTTTATAATATCTAATGTTATATATCAAAATATTGTAGGCGGACACACCAAAGCCGCGACAGATTTCTTTCTACCATTAGATCGAATAGCTCGTGCGCTTCTCTATATACAAAGAGGTGAAACGGTCCCAAGGGGCACTATCCAAGTTCAATTTCTGTAAAGCATTTAATAATTCACTTTATATGTCATTTGCACGTAATTTCATATATATATATAGATATTATATATATATATGTATATATATTCATGCTAAACGTTGTTGCTAAAAACAGACATAAACCTTTTGACGAGACTCGACGTCTCGGGCTGCAAAAAGAAACAGAAGCTATAATACGTGACCTTTTTCCAGAAGAGATAGGAATGCTAGTGGCTGAAACCGTGGTGCCTAAAGGCCCGGCTTCTGCCTACATGGAAGAAGGAGATATACTAATTAAAATAAACGGACAATATATTACAAAATTTGTACCATTAGATGATTTATTAGATTCACATGTAGGTCAAGAAATTGAAATAATGATAGAACGAGGGGGGAAGCCTAAATCCTTTAGTGTGTCAGTTCAAGATCTACATTCAATGTGAGTTGATATCATTGATTAATTATTTACATCTAAAAAATAAATGTCTCTGTAACTCTTGCTTTTTTATTTTTTTCTAGAACACCAGATAGATATGTTGAAATTGGTGGAGCAAAACTAAACGAACTATCTTATCAATTAGCACGTTCATATTGTGTGCCTGCAGGTGGTGTATATGTGGCTGAACCGGCCGGCATGTTCCGGTTAGATGGTCCTGATCATGGATGGATAATTGCATCGGTGGATAATAAACCAACACCAAATTTACAAGCATTTATTGATGCGATAAAAGATATTCCTGATCGTGAACGAATACCAGTTGTTTATTATTCTATAGCTGATATTCACACGACGAGCGTAGCAGTCGTGCAAGTGGAACGACATTGGTCAAGGTTTAGATTAGCTATAAGAAATGGTAAGAAATTTAGAAAGTCCCTGTATATCTTTATCTATGAATTTGACAATGAACCATCCGATTTGGTTATAGATTCTACAGGGTTATGGGACTTTCAAGATTTGGGTCCTCCACCTCTGCCAAAGGAATTGCAACCAGCCACTGCGAGGTTCATTGAAATGGACGAGTCTTTGGGAGCAGCCAAGGATCTTATAGCTTCTCTAGTTAAAGTTAGCTATTATATGCCATGTCGCATCGACGGTTTTCCAAAAAGTAGAGTAAGTATTGTCAAATTATCACTCGTTTTTCTGATTAGTATCAAGCTGGGTATCTAATTCTAACACATCAGCATCTATGAAATAGAAACAAGGTGCTGGACTTGTAGTTGATGCGGAAAAAGGCTTAATAGTAGTATCTCGCAGCATTATTCCATTATCCATGGGTGACATTTCTATCACTATTGCCGACTCGATCATTATTCCGGGTAAAGTGGAGTATCTTCATCCGACGCATAATTTTGCTTTTGTTTCCTATGACCCTAAATTGATTGGTGAGACTCCTGTGAAAAGTGCTGTGTTGAGTCAACGAACTTTGATGCAAGGGCATAAAGTCACGCTGGTCGCTTTCAATCATAATCATCGAATTGTTTGCTCGGAAACTGTCGTAACTGATATAACTAGTGTAACCATTCCTCAAAATGCTACACCGAGATTTAGGTATGAAGTTGAAAGCTAGTCTTTTTGATAAAATTTCTTACAAACTCAAATATTTTATTTAGGAGTATAAATCTGGATGCAATCACAATCGACACCCCGCTTGCACAGCAGTGCTCAAGTGGTGTGCTTACAGATTCAAATGGACATGTTCAAGCCTTATGGCTTTCTTATCTTGGAGAACGAAACATGTCTGGACATGACAATGAATATCATTTAGGCTTACATATTCACACAATATTTCCGGTGCTTGATGCTTTACGCAAAGGGGAAACACCGAATTTACGATTCTTAAATATTGAGTTGATGCCAGTACAAATTGCTCAAGCGCGACATATGGGTTTAACTGAGAAATGGGTTCGTAAAGTGGAAGATGCAAATCCAAATAGGCATCAACTTTTCTTGATTCGACGGACTGAGACTGGCAGCGAAAGTGCTAATGTCTTGAAAGAATTGGACCTTATTCTAGCTGTTAATGAGCAAACTATCACCCGTATGTACGAAATGGATGTGCAATACTTTAAGGAAGAACTTGATATCGTGAGTAACCGATTTATTATTTTAAAATAATGCAACTGCTATCGAGATCAAATTCAAGCATTTTCTTATAATAGACTATTCTCCGACAAAAAGTTGAAATGACTTTGAAAGTACCTACAATTCCTAATTCTGGAAATGGAACGAATAGGGTTGTAATTTGGGCGGGGGCTGCGATTCAAGGTAAGAAAAAAATTATAAGGATATTTCTAAAGTTGGATTGATTTTATGAAATGCTGAAGGTTAATAATTTGCCTTTGAATCTTATAATTTATTAGAGCCACATAAAGCTGTTTTACAACAATCTAAATCGTTGCCTTCCCGTGTTTATATTTCGGCTCGCAGTAAAGGATCTCCCTCATATATGTATGGAATGGTGAGCGTTTTGAATTTTATCTTATTGACTAATTTTACGGCATATGGAATTTTACTGATATCCTAGAATTTTTTATTCTCAATATTCAGGTCCCTACAATGTGGATGTTAGTAACTGGCTTTTTTGATTTTTCGATAGACTTCTGTTGAGTGCTTAACTGATATTAATTTATCTATTCTAGAACTCAGATTAATGGAATTCCCACGCCAGACCTTGACTCTTTTGTCGCAGTAGTGCGCAAATGTCCCGACAACACTTATGTCCGTGTAAAAATTATTACTTTTGATATGATACCAATGGTTTTGGCAATCAAAACTTGTTATCATTACTGGTATGTGTGTTGTATATTGAAGATGAGTGATGTTAATAATGAAAAATGCATTATTGAAATTTTCTTATATTGGTATTAGGCCGACCGTGGAAATGGTTCGAG